CTGCTAGGGGTTTACTTTTGCCATCTGAAATTTCTACCTCCTTTTCAGACCCTGAAGAGCCTGCCAGAAACTGTAGTTGAGGTTCGTGGTTCAGCTCCTGGGCCTCCGCTCATCTGCTTCCGGGTCAGGCCCAGGGACTCTCCAGAACCCTGTCAGGCCTCAGACGCTTTCATAAAGGTGTCATTTAACATGACTTTCTGCACAAATCTCTGGGCAACTGGCCAACTGTAACCAGAAGCTGGAACTCTTACAATTATGACACACACACCGAGAAGCTCTGTCTTTACCTCCCTGCCACCATGTATGAGGGTTCCTGTTCCCAGGACTGCAGCCAGTGCAGGACATCGCTCTCCACAATCACTGCGGAGCCAAGTGACACAGAGCTGCCTCCTCAACGCTCTGCTCTGCTTTTCTGCTATCGGCAGGCTGGCGGCGGAGGTCTTGGCTCCTCCCCTCTCGGCTTCCCTCCTCCTGGGAGGAGCCCTTCCTTCGCCCTCTGGCAGCTGCGACTCGTCCCCTATCTATCTTGACTGGGCTTTGTTAGAGGTTGCGGACTTTCTCCCTGATTTGTCACTTGCCTGTTTCATGCTGACTTTTGCCAGACAAAAGCTAAAAATATTTACTCAGTAAAACCCATTATTCTTTTCCTTTAGCTTTTCTGGCCTTGTTATCACGTAAAATATTCCATTATTAATTCTACTATAAAATATAGCCCGTCTCCACTCTGGGCCATTATGTCACCGGCTTACAGAGCCCCAGACAGAAAGCTTCCCGGTGTCTTTCTCCTCGAGGACCTTTGTTACGAGTGCCACACTCACCCCCCTGCAGAGCGAGCCGGTCTCCGAGGTCTGTAAGGGTGTGATACTGCTCGTGATTAACGAGGCCCAGGCAAGGGCCGAGACCACGAGCCAGAACACGTAAGCTGCTCTGCAGTGCGTGGTCCGAAAACAGCAGACACCTCCGCTTCCTGCTCCTGTGTCCTGGGGCGAGAGCCACCCCGAGGGGAACCCACCCCCTGGCTGCCTGGGACCCTAACCCGCCCATTGAGTTTTTCTGTTCTCATCTGGGCCAGGCCACCCCATGGCTTTGTTGCTTCCGGCAAACGGTCTCCTTATCAAATGGGGGAGCTGGTCAGAGGGTTTCTCAGGCCCCTCCCACTTTCGCAGTGGGCTCGGGGAAGGCTGGCTTTCCACTGGGTGTCATACGGCGGGGTCAATTTAGTTTGAAAGTTAAAAATTCATGCACACACTGTCCAAACCCAAACTAAGAGAGTAATTTCTGATCTTCTAGTGTCTGAAATAGAACCTCATTTTATCCAGAAATTACTCGTTGATTTCTGACATTTCTGAACTGTCCTATAAGTAAAAGTGACACATTCTTCATGTGTGTGTGCACACGTATGTGTATTTAACCACAGATGAAGTTAGTAAGAGACCGTGGTGCCTCCACACTGTGGAACGTTACCAGGAGCACACATGCACCCATGGTGTCTGCAAGAACGGGGACGGATCTCACGGGATTACGATGAGTGACAGATGTCAACCTCGACACGTCACATACTCACAATTCCATTTAGACAGTATTCCCCAGATGATAAAATTCTAGACATGGAGGAAAAAATCAGTGGCTGGAGGGGTGGGGGCTGGCTCTAACAGGTGGCAGGGACCCCCTGCGTCTGGCTGCACACAGATGTACAGGTGGCGGTGACAGAGTCCCGCACACGCACACACACGGCACCGACGCCAATGCCGGGGCCTGCTGGGCCCCGCAGTCACAGGAGACATCACCACTGGGGGAGACCGGGCTGAGGGCGAGAGGGACCTGGTACTGCCACTGCAATTCCCTGTCAATCTGCAATTGTTTCAGAATGAAAGGCTTTTTGTTTTCAAAAGGTATTATGAATTAAGAAAAACTTGTTCCCAACAGGAAAACAGAAGCTAAGGGCATCAAGAGCAGCTTGCAGAAGCATGAACCTAAGTGGCTTCATGTTGCTGAACTCTCACCTTGACCGCCGTGCAGGAAGGGCGAGGAAACGTGAAAGAACTGAGAGTCTGCCCCAGGACCCTCTGCCACCCCCACCCACCCCAGACGCCCCTCTGTCCACAGGCCCTCTCCCGGCCCCCTGCTTTATTTCCCTCTCACATGCACAGGCAGACATGCACACACGTGTGCACACTCATGTACACATGTGCACACATGCACGTCCCTCCCCTGCTCACTTCTCCACTGTCTCCCGCTCCATATGGACACAGATCTTTCTTCTGTTTGCTGTTTCTCCCAGGCTTTGGAGGTGCCTGACACATGGCGTCTGCCCCACAAGAATTTGCTGAAAGAATGGATTCTGTGGATGAGAGACACACAGGACCGAGAGCACAGGCGCCGTGTCTCCGGGAGCCACGGGTCACTGAACATCGATCACGTGCTACTGTGTCTCTCTGCTCAACAAAGGAGAGTGACAAACCCCTATAGAACCCACCTTGCTCTTCCAGGGGCTCCACCCTAAGGCCCCTGCCCAGCCCCGCCCCCCGCCCCCGTGCAGGCAGAAGGTTCCAGAGGGACTGGGGCAGTAGCTGCTGGTGGCTTCTCCGTGACACAGCGCCAGCCGAGTCTCCCTGTGGGGGAGGCCCTGGGACCGTGTTCTCGCCAATGAGCTTCCCCAGGACTGCTGGGCGGTGTTTGCAGGAAGTCACCCTAACAAGAAGAGGGGGGCTCTTCTCCACCCCTCCCCGCCCCCAGCTGGGCTGCACTTGAGCGCTGGGACCCGTCCTGTCACCCCCAGACCAGTGGGCGCTGAGCTTCCTGCACGAGGGGAGAGTGGTCCCCGCTGCTCTGAGTGGGCCTCCCGAGCAGCCCCGGGCCCCGACCTCACTGCACCTTTGGGGTTCACCTGTCTTCACCAGGCTGAAACCTTAGACTGCAGCAGTTGAAAAAGGCAATCTGTAGGGTGTAGTGGCAAAGGAAGAAAGAGGAAAAAGACTACAACTAGCTGGCCCGGGAAAAACAGACAGGCAAGGAGGTGGCCGGACCAGCAACAGCCTTCCAGGGCAGCGGGACACTCTCCCTGAGCCCAGACAGTCTGCGGACAGAAGCCGGCGTCGGCCAGCAGGCTGCTCCTTCCACGCTTACGCCCAGTCGACCACTACCAAGAGACCGTTTCCAAGCAGCTGAAAGTCACCATCACAGAGTTGGTGTCTGTCCGTAAGCACACGGGACGAGGCACCAAAAGTGCACAGAACCTCCCTTTCGGTGGACCTCCCTTTGTTCCCAGGGAGTTACAAAAATTTCCTGTCACTTCTACGAATCACCCCGTCTTTCGTGTAGCCCAGGCCTCTAGTGTCTCGAAAGCTTGGGGAAAGTCCTTGGAAACGCGGTGAAAGTAAGGACAGCGAGAGCACGGGCCAGTTCCCAAAGGAACGCCGACCTGTGGCGTCAAGCCCGTTTGGAAATGGCTGGTCTGTTCTTTTCTAAGGAGACGAGACCGCCACCAGGCGCGAGCCCATGTCTGTCCCTGGCGCACAAAGGAGCCTTCCCGGTACTCCTTCACACCGGAGCCTCACGGAGGACGCACTGCAGCCCGAGGATGGGCGAAGCTGGTTCTGCAGCCCTGAAAAGTCTGCCCCCAGGGGGTGAGGGCAGAAGAGGCGCCCAGGCACCTCGAACGGCACTGACGGAGCCCGTGAGGATCGCGTGAGGAGTGGGCCACCGGCCCCGGAGGGCCTCCTGACTGTCCTGTCGCGTTACCTGCCGAGCCCCAGGCTGCTTCTCCCCTCCCCTCCCCTTTCGGGGCCCTAAGGCAGTGGCACTCATCTGTCGCCGCCGCCATGGGCGGCTTCCCCCAGGTCTGAAACTCGGCCTGCGGGGCCAGCCTTCCCCGGCCATCTCTGGGAATGTCCCCAAGACTCCATTCCTTCTAACAGGACAGGAAGAAACACGCTAGTGGCAGGGTCCCTTGACCTCCAGGCATCAAGGAACTCGTGCTGCGAGCACAGACACCCTCCTCCGCACGGGCCTCCGATGCCAACTTCTAAAGCAAAGACGACGGAGGACGTTTTCAGAGCAGCACCATTCCCTGCAGCTTTAAAATAAGAGTGGCAAGGAGAAGAAAAGGTTTCACAGCTCAGTGAATTTCTGTTAACAGCCGAGAAGTGCGAGGTGCATGTGTTGGAGGAGAGGGAGCAAAGAGCTTGGGGGGGGGGGCCCATGCGCCTGAGCACAGCCTCTCACGTGGACAAGCCGCCTGGCTGGCGATCTGGCAGCGGGAGGCCGGGCGAGGACTCCGCCGGGCCCAGCCCCCAGGCCGGGACAACAGTCTGTCCCCTGAGAGAGGAGCTGCCCCGGACCTGTAGTAACAACATCGTTCAGTGGAGCTGAGCGGCCACCACCTAGAGAGCAGGAGGAAGAGCAAACCCTGGCCCACGGGACAGTGCAGAACGGAGGTGGTCGGCGAGAACAGGATGAGAGGCAAACGCCGGCTCTGCAGACTCAGTCTTCGGGCACCTGGAGGCACGCAAAGGGGCGCGTGGCCTCTGTGCGCCTGCCTGCCTCGCCAGGGGCAGCGCCCACACTGTCTGTCTGCAGATTCACACACTACGTGAGTTGCAGTGACGAAGACGACCAGGCTTTCTGAGACTTTCAGACCTTACAGTGAGGGGAAGAATCGGACGGGACCATGTGGGTGCCGACCTGGAACCCTCCTGGCCTGCTGGCCGGAACGCTGCTCTGAGGGGCACCGGAGTCCTGCCACGATGAGACCGAAACCACCGGGCTCCTCACCCCACACTGAGCATTGCACGGAGTCCTCCAGAGCCGCGAGCAACGACTGACCGACCGGGCCTGAGCGCGTCGGTTCTGTCCCCGCCCCCAACCGTCCAGACAGCTCAGTCTGCTCCCCCCAAGCACTCCTGCTGTTGAGTTTTAGGGCCTAGAGCAATTTCCGGCTGGCCTGCACTTCCACAGAACCTCCAAGGACATCCCGCCCTCGGTCCAGAGGGCCCACTCACCAGCTGGAACTCGCTCCGGCGACCGAAGGCCTCCCTGATGCCGGAGTCACCCCAGAGCGCGCTCAGCGCTGGCACGTACAGCTGGAAGGTGGCCGGCTCCACGGGCAGCCCAGCCTTGTTCTCGAAGGCCATGAGGAACATGCCGTGCTTCTCATTCTCAGGGTGCTGCCACGGGATCCCCAGCTTGTCCCGCGCGTCCACCAGGACCTTCGAGCCCTAGGAAACGACAGGAGTGAAAAGGACTTACTCGTGCCCAGAAGACCAGACCTCGACGGAGAGCCTCGAGATGGGCGCCTGGGGACAGACACAGGGCTCCCTGGCCACCCGTCAGCGTGCAACCACCGCCCGTCTCGGTGTGTCTGGTCAGCGCACGCATGCCTCATCCCCAGGGACAGGCCCGGGCCGTGGCTCACGTGAGTGCACGCCCGCGGCAGGCTTGCCCTTCGCCGATATGCGTCTGGAGAGCTCCCGAGAGGGACACACCGAATGGGGAGGAGGCGGCAGCAAATCTGGCAAAGCCGGCACCGGAGAACGGACCTTGGCCATGAGTGACAGTGACGTGAACAACCGCTACCGGCCCCACTGCAGCCCCCCCCCCCCCGGACGCAACTGTGTACTGCAGCCCAAAGTGAGTGTGAGGACACCGGCAGGTGGGTGCCTGTCAGGGTCTGGAGTCCACGCCGCCGCTGCCGTGATGCAGGGAAACGAGCGGCTCCTCGTTGTTCTGCTCACTCCTTCACTATTAGTGACACGGCACGAATTTTCTGACCCCGCAGACAGGCCTGGGGATGGGGACGGGGACGCCGGCAGTGAGGAGGCAGAGGGGACGGCGCCCAGACTGCCCCGGGGATGACGGCCACACCAGGCAGGGGGTGGGGCTACTCGCCGTTTGTGGTCGGCGCCGCGGCACCGGCACACAGCGTCTAAGGGGGTCTCCGAGCCCCTCTGAGGGGATGCACCGTCGATCCTGGGGGGTGAAGGACAGCGGGGCCCTCTCTGGGAAAGCCATGTGGCCCCCAGCACAGAGTGCGGCAGAGGCCACCCCCCAGGCAGTGCCAGAAGTCACACAGCACGTGAGCCCCCATTCCTGAGTGCCGCTTGCTGGCGGGCAGCGGGCAGGAGCCCTGAGAAGCGGCCCTTCCAACAGGGTGGGGACGAGGTGCTGCCTATCGCGTCTGCTTCTGCCGGAACCACCGGATCACTGGTGACGGCAACCAAGGCGAGCACTGCCACCTCTCCCCTAGAGCTGGTGGACCAGACCATCTGCTGGGAGACGCTCCTCTTACAGGCCCCCTCAGGGCCCCTCGTCGGCCATAGTGATGAGTCCCGGCCTGCGGATCAGCAGGAAAAGGCTGGGAAAGCCCTAGCGCAGGGCACTCTCTGCCTGCACTTCCAAGCTCGGGTGACTTCCGACCAGCAGCCACAGTGAATGAGGACCTGCCCCAAGTAGGAGTAAGTCAAGTCAAACCTCAGCTCTCCGTCCTCTCTGCCCCACCCCATTGCTGCCACCGGGTCCTTCCCATCTCCCCCCTTTTTCTGACGACACTGTGACAAACCCCCACCTGCCCAGAGGGACAGTATCAAACAGGTTTAGGAACCCAGAAGGATGGTCCACAGGACCCACACCACAAACGACGCAAGGTGGGTGTGCAGAGAAGGAGAGGGCACTTCTCTGGTGGGCTTCCGGCCAGAGCGTTCCTGCGCCTTGGGCACATCAGAGGAAGGCTCCGTTACCCTGGCGACAGGAGCCAGATCAGGACGTCAGCCCCCATGCCGCGAGGCCGGGTGACCACCCGCCTGCCGAGCAGACGGCCCTGCCCGCACAACGGTCTGCACGCACAGTGTCTCGTCACCTGTTACACAGTCCAGCTTCCTGAGGGCGCAGCCTCGAGTGCATGGGAAACGGAGCCTCTGCTCTGCCAGGCTGTTCACTTGTGTGTGTTGGAAATGAAGGCCGGGGACCAGAACCGACCCAGAAGGCCTGAGCGACCGTGGCGAAGGCTGCTTTTGGCCCTGTACAGACCAGGCCTCGCCTAATTATGGGGTGAGTGCTGGTCTGGATGAAAAAAAAAAAGGTCCATTTGAGGAAGGCTGTCTGTCTCCCTACCGCACGCTGCCACCCAGGCCGGCTGGAACTGGCCCAGACAAACTTCACCCAGACACGAAGTAATCCTCTTTTTAGAAGTCAGGAAAACTGGGAAAAGCTGTTGCCGAACACTGAATTATACCAGTTCGCTAGAATTCACTTTCTGTACCGTAGTCACATTATTTGGAGGAAAAAGGCGACAAGAAAAAAGATGTCTCTCTTTTGTCCTTTTAAATTATCCTGGTCAAAAACACCAGCAGCAACTTTGCTCCGAATCCCCAAACCGATCTAGGGGCGTTTTCCGCTTTGGGACATCTGCTGGAAATGAGTCCACCCTTCCCTCAGAGACAGCGGGAGGTCTGCGGGAGCTCCATTTCCTTACTTGTGTGGCTGATGGTTACACTGTCTCCATCTCCATCCAAGGCTGTTCAGGAGGAGGCACAACAAAGTAAAAAGCACCTCACCCCTATCGTTTTCCTACAAAAGACCAATTTCCTAAAACACACAAGCCAAAAAAAAAATCCTAAAAATCCATTATATACTCAAAAGGAAAAAAAAAATAGGGCAGAAGACAGTTAGCTTTTAGGTCTTGTTAATGGCTATCAGGCAAGCTGTCCTTCTGCTAAGTGTTACTGTTTTCTCTGTGATGATACATTTTATCCAGTCACCCAAATATACACAATTAAAGGAGTAGGCAGTTTGATGACTTCATCTTAATACTATGTAACACGTTGAACTGTTCAAAGAACACACTTTTAAGACAATTTATAAATCCAGCAACTTAAATTTCTAGTGGAAGACCGGACGGACTCCCTGTCGGCTGGGAACGTGGGTTTGGGGTTTTTGGCTTTGCTGGATGAAGACCGAGAGTCGCAAGTCCTGCCACCTCATTTCGACATTCACTTTGTTAGTTTAGCCCTAATCAATCCGACCTTGTTAGATCAGCGGCTCCTCACTGCACTCTTCCCGCATCAAAGTCTAACCCTGAGACGGACACAAAATGCTAGCCCACGGGACTCTCTCTCTTCAGACCCAGGGAGTCCCACTGAGCGACATTTACGGTGGGCACGCTCGCATGAGAGACGACAGCCTGTGTACTCAGAAAGATCTGTTTCGGTTTCAAACCCACTAGGCAAGTTGTGTTTGCCTCTGGCCACCATCCAAATCAAAGAAACGAGCAGGAATGTAAACAGGACACATCTCTGTAAGTCAGCGAGTCCAGCAGCAAAGGCATACGGCCCCTCTCAGCGTCTGACCCTGAAGGGAGGCGCCCGCTCATTCAGAGGACCAATGGGAAGTGAGCACGGAGGGCGGCCTGCAGACAGAAGGTCATCTGAACTAGCTGATGGCTTCCGGGTGCAGCCCCCTTCCCCACCCCGCCCCTCACGCAGCTTTCAGGGCCGAGTGCCTGCTCCTCTGGCACGCGCTCCTCGCCCGGCCTTCCCAGAGGAGAGTGGTCTACCTGCGGATGCAGGGAGGGCCTGCCTCAAGCAAGAGAAGGGCCGGCTGGCGCGAAAACCAGAACGGCGGTGTATGGGCACAGAGTGGCTCCGCAGGACGCCAACTTGGTCACAGGAGCAGGACACGACACTGGCTGCCGGCCCAGGGGTCCCCACCAAGTCAGGGGCTGGAGAAGCATCCCCACCAGTGACAGGAGCAGGCCTCACCAGGCCGCAGCCAGCTCAGCCTGGATGTCACCCCATAGGAAGCAGGGAGCTGTCGAAGGGCCCAGAAAGCCTCGCAGCAAGGCCAGTGCCCTGGCTCCAGGTCTGGTGTGGCTGCACAGGGCAGGGTGAGTGCAGGTGGGCAGACAGTCACAGGGACCACGCTGTTGCGCCAGGAGGCAGGTGAGCTCTAGGAGAAGGAGAAGGAGAAGGGGGCTTGCTGGGCGTGGGGTGGTGGTGAGAGGAGACCACCAGCCCACTCTCCAGGACACACCGAACCGGGAAACAGACCTGAGCTGACCTCTGAGGACCCGACGTTTCTGGTATTCTCTAGAATGCTTTTTCAGAAAGCAGTAATTAAATCTAGAAGCAGGGATGTGCCTGCTGCGTGCCTGCTAAATTAGAGGGAATTGAATGTGCTCGGATCCTACTTCACACACAGTAAGAGCCTTCACTCACAGGCCCCGTCCGAGCCACCTGGAGCCGCCCGCGCCTGTGAGCAGTGGGGGCGTGGCCTGTCCAACTGAGATGCACTACAGATTCAGGCAGGATTGCAAAGGCTCAGCATGAACCACAAGTGGAAATATCTTTTGATTCTTAACCTTGATTCCACATTGAAATGATAACATTTTGGATGTTTTGCATGATTAAAGTACATAATTTTACCCATTTCTTTTACCTTTCCTAATGTGGGTAAAGCACACGCGGTCTGCACTACATTTCTGTGAGACATGCTGCTGTACGGGAACATTTGTAAACATTTATCTTATGTATTAAGTTCAGAGAAAGCGAGGACAAGCGTGGATCGGCTGCCCCACCCATGGGTGCACTTGTGCCCTGACTGACTCCGGTCTGCGCCCCGACCAGGGAGGGAACCCGCGACCTTGGCGTGTCAGGACAGCACTCTAACTGAGCTACCAGACCTGGCGGGGACATTTCCTAAAATGAAGTTTGTTTCTTTCCAATCACAAAAATATTATTTTTCATGTAGAAAATAGAGGAAACATTGAAAAACACAAAGAAGCAAATTAAACCCTCAAAATCGTCACTATCTAGAAATAACTCTTATTAACATCTTAGAATGTTGTCTGTCTCATTCTTGATGGAAATTCTGTCTCTGTGTGTATATTAGTATTTTGTGAGTCTGTAAAGACATTTCTGCCCATATAGTGAGGTCCAGTGTCACTAAACTAACCACTTCAGGATTTCACGATCGGTAACCACCACGTGGTGACCCCGCCTGCGACCTTCCTGGAAGCCGAATGCCGGGACTGCCGGGCCAAATGCAGGCACACGTTTCTGAGGCTTTGGATAAATAACATTAAACTGCTCCCAGAAAGGCTGTACCAATGTACACATTTTACGTTTGGTAAGTCTTCATTTTACCAAAATTGTTTCTTTTTAAACCAGCCTGTCTGCTCCCTAAGGAGCTCCTCAAACAGCCCAGGGCTTCCTGGGCACCAGAG